TACTGTAGTTGTCGTTGTGGGACCCTCTACTCTGATTTTTTAAAAATAGTTTTTGAGCTTACAAAATGCCTAAAATCATTCATTTTCAGATCTTCCCGGTGCTCCACGTGGAACGCTGGGCGTTCGACGCCGAACTGATCTTCCTGTGCGAGAAATGGACGGTTCCAGTCAGCGAGGTGTCCGTTCGATGGAAAGAGATCGAGGGATCGAAAATCACGCCAATCTGGTCGTGGCTTCAGATGGGCAGGGATTTAGTGTTGATTTGGTTCAGATATAATGTAAGAAATACGGAAATTCGTGGCGTTTTTAGGGGGAAATTTGAAAATATTTTTCTGAAAAATCTGAAAAATTCCAAAAAATCGCAAAATTTTCCTGAAAAATCTGAAAAATCGGTTAATTCAGAGAATTCTAAAAAATATGAAAAAAGCTGAAAAATACGAAAAATCCAAAAAATTAGAAAAACACGAAAAATTCGGAATTTTCCAGAAATACTGAAAAATCTAAAAAGTTCTAAAAATATGAAAAAAAGCTGAGCAGTCCATAAATTCCGAAATTTACGAAAATTTTAGAAATTGTGAAAAAATTACAATTTTTTGAAAAAAGCTGAAAAAAAAACAAAATGTATTTCCCTGAAAAATCTGAAAAATCGGATAATTCAGAAAAATTTAAAAAATTCCAAAAATATGAAAAAGCTGAAAAATAAGAAAAAGTCCAAAAATTCTGAAAAAGTTACAATTTCCTGAAAAATCTGAAAATTACCAAAATTTAGAAAAATGCGAAAAATTCTAAACTTTACCTTTAAAATTTGAAAATAATGAACTTAACCTTTAAAATTTGAAAATATGATTTTCAAGAAAAATCGGATAATTCTGAAAATTCTAAAAATTCCGAAAAATCTAAATTATTCCAAAAAGTCAAAAAAAATATGAAAAATGCTGAAAAATACGAAAAATCCCAAAAATTCCGAATTTTAAGAAAATTTCAGAAATTCTAAAAAAAATTACAATTTTCTGAAAAATCTGAAAAATTCGAAAAATAGGAAAAAAGCTGAAAAATCCCAAAAATTCCGAAATTTACGAAAATTTCAGAAATTGTGAAAAATTACAGTGTTCTGAAAAATCTGAAAATTTCAAAAATTCCAGAAAAGTTCTAAACATTCCAAAAAAAATGTTTGCAGATCGGCATCTGGACTGATAGTCAACCATAATCACTTGGATTCTTTCTCTGGATTTTTCAATTTATCACTGATTATTTATTTTTTTCTTTTAAAGTTTGGGTCGTTTTTTAGTGATTTTTTTGCTTTAAGCCTACCATTTTTCCCCAATTTTTTCGCTTTTTTTGCTTGCTGGTTTTGTAAATATTTCAATGATTCCTGCCAAAAAATTTTTTATCCTCGAATTGTGATTTTCGTTCCACCACTTTATCCCTGTTTCTGATGGCATTTTTCCGGGCTTTTTCCCTCTAAAAAATGGTTAAAATTGTAATTTTTTCGCTCATGTTTTGAATTTCGTTGAAATCGAATTTTTTCTATATTTTTCAATTGTTGAAAGCCTAATTTTTTCAGATTTTTGAGAATAGAAAATCGAAAATTTCAGGGCAAAATGGTGAAAAAATCAGCAGCGTCAGTGCCAAAAGCCGCTGAATTTCCAAGCGATGAGATTGTGATGCAAGAGGAAGTGGTTTTGAATGTGAGGAACGAACAAAAATTGGAGAAAAATCTGAAAATTCCGAAAAATCAAAATTGCGTAAAATTGCTGAAAAATACGAAAATGTCCAAAAATTCCGAATTTTACGAAAATTTCAGAAATTCTGAGAAAAATTACAATTTTCTGAAAAATCTGAATAATTCAAAAATTACAGGAAAATTCCAGAAAAGTTCCAAGTTCAGATTCCACCACATTGAGC